ATGTTCAAGCTACAAGGCAAAATAAAGAAATTAACTAAAAGTAAAGCATTCTTGGCAAGGGCGTAGATTTGGTTTGAACATTGGGGGGGTTGAAGTTTGGGTATGCCTCCTGATATTGTGATCATGGTATAAATAATGGGGGGGGGGGGTTGTAATGCATAGATTTAAATATTGGGGGGGTTATATCCCCCATCCCCCCATTTCTTGGTGTTTTTGTCATGTTGCAATAGCCTGTTTACACTGATTATATACCAAAATCAAAGCTGATACTGTATGCTAATAGATAAAGGAGTCATAATAACATATGGTACCACTTTATTTTGATAGTCCACTTTATACATTCGACTAACTATAAGTAACTTTGCAGCTGCATGTCAACTAACTCTCATTACAGTATTAGTAGGCTTAATATCTGCTAATTATGTATTATAATATCTTATTTTGTTGGTTCCCCAACAGATATTCTACTGACTATAAGTAACTTGGCAACTACAAGTCAACTTGTTCTCCAAACCCGAACCCACATCATAACCTGACAGTCTACTACAGTCTACTAATACTCTAATGAGAGTTAGTTGACATGTAGTTGAAAATGTACATGGTTAGTAGAATGTCTAAAGTGGACTATCGAAATAAAGTGTAACCTAACATATTACATGCTTTGAATTCCTTATATAAAGTTATGCAGTGTTCTAAGCAACCTGGATGGGTCGCTGTACGTGGTGCAACACTTATAACCACAAGAGACTTGAGACTTGACTTGGACTCTAGCTCAGAGACTTGAGACTTGACTTGGACTCTAGCTCAGAGACTTGAGACTTGACTTGGACTCTAGCTCAGAGACTTGTGAGCATCTCTGGTACCAGCACACCTGTCCTCAACAAGACATGATCTAAGAATCTGTCAGATCTGTAGCACAAATGCACCAATTTATTCAGTGTTCCTGAGCAATATAGCCTTGTCGTTAAAATAAACATTAAATAGTAATATCTGATCAAATTATTTGAGCTTATTTGAGTTTCTCAAAATAATGAACAAACGCTCTTCCAGTAATCTTCATAGAGTATTTGTTCACAGTAATCTGGTCTTTGATGATGTTCTCAAAACATTAGCCTATATTGTTTATAAAACCTTTTTTTTCTGAATGTTATAGTTGTATGTTTGTCTAACATTTTTAAAATGTTACTACTTGTTTCAGAGAACATTCAAAAGTATAACATTTAAATTATTTTTGCAGAATGATACAATGTAATGTTCCCTTAACTTTCACATAACCGAGAAAAAATGATAATAATTTTAACATTTAAAAAAACTGGATGCTTTGAACGTTCAGAGAACATTCAGAAATCATGTTTAACAACTTAATGGGAACATTGGTAGAACGATCTTAGAACACATTTCTGTTTGCTGGGACAGTCAGTATTAGTGAAACCTATAGATCTTTATACACTCACCTAAAGGATTATTAGGAACACAATACTAATACGGTGTGTGACCCCCTTTCGCCTTCAGAACTGCCTTAATTCTACGTGGCATTGATTCAACAAGGTGCTGAAAGCATTCTTTAGAAATGTTGGCCCATATTGATAGGATAGCATCTTGCAGTTGATGGAGATTTGTGGGATGCACATCCAGGGCACGAAGCTCCCGTTCCACCACATCCCAAAGATGCTCTATTGGGTTGAGTTCTGGTGACTGTGGGGGCCATTTTAGTACAGTGAACTCATTGTCATGTTCAAGAAACCAATTTGAAATGATTCGAGCTTTGTGACATGGTGCATTATCCTGCTGGAAGTAGCCATCAGAGGATCGGTACATGGTGGCCATAAAGGGATGGACATGGTCAGAAACAATGCTCAGGTAGGCCGTGGCATTTAAACGATGCCCAATTGGCACTAAGGGGCCTAAAGTGTGCCAAGAAAACATCTCCCACACCATTACACCACCACCACCACCACCAGCCTGCACAGTGGTAACAAGGCATGATGGATCCATGTTCTCATTCTGTTTACGCCAAATTCTGACTCTACCATCTGAATGTCTCAACAGAAATCGAGACTCATCAGACCAGGCAACATTTTTCCAGTCTTCAACTGTCCAATTTTGGTGATCTCTTGCAAATTGTAGCCTCTTTTTCCTATTTGTAGTGGAGATAAGTGGTACCCGGTGTCTTCTGCTGTTGTAGCCCATCCGCCTCAAGGTTGTGCGTGTTGTGGCTTCACAAATGCTTTGCTGCATACGAGTGGTTATTTCAGTCAAAGTTGCTCTTCTATCAGCTTGAATCAGTCGGCCCATTCTCCTCTGACCTCTAGCATCAACAAGGCATTTTCGACCACAGGACTGCCGCATACTGGATGTTTTTCCCTTTTCACACCATTCTTTGTAAACCCTAGAAATGGTTGTGCGTGAAAATCCTAGTAACTGAGCAGAGTGTGAAATACTCAGACCAGCCCGTCTGGCACCAACAACCATGCCACGCTCAAAATTGCTTAAATCCCCTTTCTTTCCCATTCTGATATTCAGTTTGGAGTTCAGGAGATTGTCTTGACCAGGACCACACCCCTAAATGCATTGGAGCAACTGCCATGTGATTGGTTGATTAGATAATTGCATTAATGAGAAATTGAACAGGTGTTCCTAATAATCCTTTAGGTGAGTGTATGTTACTCAAAGTATACTTGCCTTTGGTTTCTTTCAGTGTGTTGATTTCAGTGTGTTGATTTCAGTGTGTTGATCTGTTTGCCTGACGCCACTGTGAATGTTCCCACTCACTTAATAATGCAACTGGTAACCCAACTATAAGGGTGTTATAGCACCTTCCCAACTGTGGGTTATTTTAACCCAATGCATTAAGTTAAGTTAACTATTTATTTTTTTATTTATGACATTATTGTATTAAATAAAATACACGTTGTTTTCAAATACAGATTGTTTATTTGTATAAAACAATAAATATGTCTCAACAAATATATATTTAAATTACAAACTACATTTTGGGGAGTCTAGAATTTAATTTAAATATACATAATTGTTTACATAAATTCAAAATACACAAGTGTACAACATACGTATTTAGCCCAACAGATGGGTTATTACTAGAAATGAGCCAACATGTTTGACTGTGCCTGCTGTAGCTGATGGAGACGGACTGAGGAACTCCATCATAACACATATATAAGCTCTGTCCTGATGCCCAACCAGAACTGCTGCTTTATTAGTGCGTGAGAACGGCCATCGTCCTTCAGGATCACCGCACTTCTTTATGACGGCTTGTGTTCTTTTATTTGGCAGAGCTCTTGTTCATTACATTATCCTATCCATTCCACATTCATTTTAGTGCTGCCATTTTGAAATTGAATGTGTCTGGCTTCCGGTGTCCTTCACTTCCAGTTATTTTTAGCTGTACAAAATAGCTTTCGCGTTGAAAAATAAGGTGCAGCTCCAGGAATTATTTTGCATTTCATGACACATTTTCTGAGTAGCTCTAACTGACAGCTGGCACTTTATTTCTTTATTCCCTCAGAGATGCTTCCGCTGACACACAGAAGAGCACATATGATGGTGTTGAGTGCTTGTCTGTGGGTGGCTGTTGCTACGTGTTTTTCTCTGCCGTTGCTAGGGTGTTATGAAGGTTACTTCTGCTTTGTTGTTCAGGTGTTGTATTATTAACCAGGTGATAGCACTGGAAACAGTGATACATCATGCCCTTGCAAACACCACTAATTGTCCTGTATTTTGAAATGTAGTAATGCTGGACTATATCACACGAAGAGAAACTGCATCACTCCCATTCCCCTTTTAATGCATTGAAGAAGAAAAAAAAAATTCACTCAGAAATATACGCTGTACACAGTCATTATATGGACAAATTCTCACAGCTGTTTTTGCATGGGATTGTTCCCAATCTGCTTCAGTTTAGTGTTTTGCCCCCCGGTGCATCCGCGGCTTCACTGGCACTGCACATTTAACAGCTTTATTTCTCTTCTTTTAGTTGTTTTGTGCACAAAAAAATGTGCATTGGAGATGCTGCCATCTAAAGGAAATTCAATATTACATGACATAATAATGTCCTTCCTTTAGATGGCAGCATTATATAAACCATCATATAAAGGACTCAGATGTGTTAGTTTGGGGACATTCTGCAGTGAGATTTTGTTAACATGTTATTTATTCACATTAACTGTATGCAAAATTGCATTATGAGCTTGAAAGTTGCAAAAGCAAGGACACATGCTTGGAAAGAGATGTTGATGTTGAGATTCTGTATCACTTGTTCTGCATATAAAGAGAGTAAAAGACACTGATTCAGCTAGATCAACACATTCTCATCCCAAGGCGTCATCTAACTGACACTTTTGACCATGCGTCAACATGCCGACGCACATGGTACCCCTTAAGCGTCAATATGAGACGCTCATCCTCGGCGTCATCTAACTGACGCTTTTGACCATGCGTCTAAATCCGACGCACATGGCACCCTTTAGCGTCAGTGAGATGACGCTTCTGTTATGGGTAGGTTTAGGTCTGGGGTAGGGTTAGGGTTAGACCACTAGGAGGCACGTCTCATATTGACGCTTAAGGGGTAGGCCTACCATGTGCGTCGGCATGTTGACGCATGGTCAAAAGCCTCAGTTAGATGACGCCTTGGGATGAGAATGGGCTGGCTAGATATCAGCCATCTTTCCATCTTTTATCTATTTTCTCCAGTGTGTTCTCGACCCTGCTGTGCAGTCAGATTGCTTTCTCTCTAACCGCTCATATAGCAACCGAACACAAGAGAGTCAAAGAGACTTATCAAACGCATCCAGTGACAGAACAGCGTCTGTTTGCATCTCTGTCTCTTCCAGCCGCAGATCTGCAAGTATGCAGTGTGTTTGTCTGAGTTTTCAGGCATTAAAGCTGCAGGGATGGAAATGATGTTGGATTGTTTATGCATAAACTGACTTAACACTACATGCATGCATGAAATTATACTTTTGTTTTGTTTTTTTGTATTTCAGGGCAAAGATTTTTCGTGGGAAGAAGGTCCAGGGAGATTATGACGTCAAAGTTGAACAGGTAAAGCATTTATTACAGCTTTACAGCTGCTTGCTATTCTCTGAGTGATCACACAAACCATTTAACTTCCCTCGGCTCATTTTGAAATTGAGTGTTCATCAGAGGGTCCAAGACCCCAGGACTTTTGTTGCACTTGAACCACAAATACCAACATGACATCATGACTTTGCGTAAAAATACACGCCACTTTCAAGTCAAGTGGCGTGTTATCTATACGCATTTTGAACTATCCGCGTGTATGTCCACGCCGAAATCTTTTGCGTGTATGTCTACGCCATTAACTGTCCGAGTGATTCCGCGTGTATGTGTACGCCGTTAAATGTCCGAGCGAAACGAAGCAAAATCTATATCTACATCTGTGGAGCGATATTTCTTTTCCTAGGATGGTAGGAGAAGACTCATAAATGGTATTAACCCCAGTGACGGGTAGGTTTAGGGACGGGGTTGGAGTAGGTCATATATTTATATATATATATAATACAGTAATATAACGTTAAGTCAAAGGCGTTCATAAACATGCTGAAAAGCGATTATGCGTGTTGATAGCACGCCAAAAATGGAAATACGAATTGGCGTGTCATACATACGCCATTTCATGAGATCAGTCTGCAAATACACACACAAAAAATGAATGGATTTTTGTGGTTGAAATTTAAAAAAGTAACAATATCCTTCCCTCGTGGCCGTCTCAATCTGAGCCCCTTAGGAATGAATGGAATGGGAGGAATGCTGCAGTACACATAGAAAACCCTAAAAATGCTCAAAATTCAAACTAAAACTTTACCAATAAATGACTGTATAATGTCTACATGTGTATGTGAACGCACACTGAAGAGAAACTGGCTTTAGGACCCAGCGGAACAGCTCCTGGGGTGGTAATGGCGCAGTGGATAAGACACATGCCTTTGGTGTGAGAGACCCGGGTTCGAATCCACTGTGAGACACCAATGTGTCCCTGAGCAAGACGCTTAACCCCTAGTTGCTCCAGAGGCGTGCGACCTCTGACATGTATAGCAATTGTAAGTCGCTTTGGATAAAAGCGTCAGCTAAATGAATAAATGCAAATGCAAATGCAGCTCCTCTGCTCCATATAGAGCTATAAACCCACGTCATGAAATATCATATTATATTATTATTTTCCACAATAGGTCGGCAAAGACTCCCAATGTAAAGATATTTTGAGCTGAATTAAAAGGGTTATGCATGAAATTGTGAGTTATTTTGAACTTAAGTTGAAAGAATGTGAGGAATGTGCTTAAATTGCTATTTATTTATTATTTCTGTCATTGAAAGGTAAATACATTTAAAAAAAAAATAACAAATAAACTCCAAAAAAATGCATTAAACTATTTTATATAAAAAATATATATTATCAAAATGAAATAAAATAAGCTTTCTGGGCAAAAATGTATAATTTTAGGGCTTCGGGTCATTTTGACCTGCGAGGGAAAGATGTGTCACAATGTGCGAGGGAAGGATGAGGTTTAAATATTGATCTGGTTGTTTTCAACCACTTTTTCGTTGATTTTTATGTTACATGCACACAAACAAGTCTCTAACACTGCATCCTAACTAGTTGTCATGCACTACATTTCCTCTCAGTGATTTATCTGTCCTCACTGCAAACACAAACACTGTTACAGTAGATGTTATTCATTATGTTACAGTGGTTGCATGACCTAGAAAAGCCCACCGCGTCTTCATAAGTGAAGGCCGACTGGTCTATTGTCTTTATGCAGTCATTTTAAATTGCCTTTAGTCACGAAATAAAAAGGTTTCCTGGGCATTTTATGACATGCCGTCTCATTGATATTCCGGACCACAAGTTGCTGATTGGAAGCCAATAGTATTGATCTGAATTGTGCCAATACAGTAATTGTCTGGATGGCCTTTAACCCGAGCAGAGGCGAAGACTCATAGAGGGATTGGTTATTGATCAAGAACATGTAGGTAATAGAGCTGAGGTTGATTTCATTAACTTACAGTCTGTCAATCACAAACCCTTCCAATTAAGACACAGTGACTGAGAAAGCCCGCAACTATATAAGTGGATGTTTTATTACCAATGAACTTTATGCATATAAAATATGAGATTGCTTTGCATACCCAGTTTTATTGCGTCTGTGTTTAAACCTCAGATTTAAGCTTGCATTACATAACATGAATGTTAACAAAGATGAGGATTCACACACGATTCACAGACACCCACTTGCAAGACGTCATATGGCTGACGCTTTTGACCATACGTCAACATCCGACGTTTTAGGGTACCCTTTAACGTCAGTTAGATCAGGGTTTCTCAACCTTTTGCCTACTGCGACCCACTTTTCTTTTGTATGCCAGTCATATGACCCACTAAATAAATCAAGAATAACTGAAATGCCTCTTTAGATATATAGGCTACAACGCAGGCCTATATGCTTATTATAATTAATGATAATCACGAAAACACACAAACATTTTCAATAATTAGGCAGACTATTAGGCAAACTGATTTTTTTACTCACGTTAATGTGATAGCCTTGAGACTGCCGCTCTGATCATATCCAGACTTGGTGGAATTTGGAAAAGTGTGACTCGTAGTGTCGCACACAAACTGTTGTCAGCCTATTCCTGCTTTTTGTTTTCGTTGCAGTCACTGTTGAAAATCCCGACTGACAAAGATACCATAAAACTTTAAATAATAGCCCGGGCTTTTATTTTCCCAAATCGTCGAACTGCACCGGCTTGTATTTGAGACAGGCGTCTATATGAGACAGGCCTTTATAATTTAGTGTTGAGATGTTGTTCATTGAGATGTTGTTCCTAGAGTCTCTAATCTCTAAAAATCTCCAAATGCTCCACGTGAAACTGCGGTCTTTCAACCTTTTACTATCGTGTCAATTGATTTTGATTAATATGCGCGAGGGATAGAGAGCAAGACAGCGCTCGTGTTGTTTGAAGACGTGAGTGCGCGCGCGCGGCCGGGGCGCTCTCTCTCTCTCTCTCTCTGCTCGTTATGCACTGTCAAGCGCAGCAAGCGGACGCTCTGACGGGTTTTAGAAGATTAAATACAACCCGAAACTAAAAAACAGACCCGGCTTCTATTTGAGACCGGCCTTTATTTACCCAAACCTGTCGCCACACCAGGCGTGTAAAAGAGACGTCTATTCGGGACTCGGCTATTATTTGAAGTTTTACGGTAGTAGGCCTAGTGCTAAATGGGAAGAGAAACTTCGTTGCACAATCTGCGAGTTGTGGATATTCATTTCTGGTTTGAATCTCAGCAATGAAAATAGCCTATGATTCGTCGGAGGATCGGCTACGTTTCCATGCATAACTTTTGTTTCAATCGGACTGAATTAATTCCGATTGATGAATCTGAATGTAGTGTTTACATGAACGCTAAACGTGCTGGGGTTAATGTGCGCGTTTATATGTCACAAGATTCAAATCGAATTGTATGTTTTTGACATGCGCACACTGCACGAATATACAGAGTTTCCCGCTGTTTGCGCATACTAACTATTCTCTTACATTGGTTCTTTATTTGTTTTAAACAGCAGACTTAATATTTATCCATTGCTGGTCATAATTTGGAGACAATGAGCATATGAACCGTTGTGCCGTGCCCGTGCTGCTTATTTATCACGCAGTAAAAATGCCCAGCACCCAAAACCAGTCGTCTGTGAATGAGAGTCTGAAACAAGGACTGGTGGGATGTTGTCCTGCTCCACTTCACAGACGCTGAGTGAAAGGAGAATTTTAGAATGATGGTAGGCTACGCTCATTTATACGACACTTTACTCAAAAGGAAGAACAGCTTGTTCAGCGCGTCATACATCATTATGCTATGCGCAGTCCTTTAGTTTCGGTTTTCAATCCGATCAAGCGTTTACCCAGATAGCAAAAAATATCGGCACGGCTTCTTTTTGCCGCCGGCCCCAAACTGTCGGCTATAGGTGCGGCCCGCTGGCGGAGAAGAAACGTTTGCCGCCGAATACGTCACTCCCATTTCTTGCGAGATGCCGCCGGCGAACAGCCGCCGGGCCGCCGACTTCATTCTCTCTGGCGGTTGCCGCCGTCTAAATGAACCGCGGCCGGCTGGCGGCAAGCCGCTTTGAAATCGACCAGCCATGTCATTGGCATGAGTGGAACTGACAGCATTTTAACTTTCACATTTAAAGCGATTATAATTATTATGTGAATTATATCAAATTTTTAGGTACCAAAGTCATTATAGGGTTTATAACAGATTTGACTCAGTCTGATTCCATGATAAGGTTTAGGAAAATACATTTAAATTACGTTGAAACTCTGAAGCGATTCAGTGATAGGCCTATGTAAAATATATAGAATTATTTTATTCACTTAAGGTGACAATTCATTTCTTTGATTTATGCACAAGTGAGATGCACAAATAGTCCAAAAAGAATTCCTTTTGTAAAACTTACTTGGCAATAAATATCTTTCTGATTCTGATTAGGTTTTAAAATAAATATTTCATTCATGGTATGAACAATTTAGCAGAATAAATGGATGAAGTTAGACTTTTAACCAATGCCTGAAATCAGTGAACAGTGAAAGACATCTGCAACTTGGCCAAAAGCGTGGGTATGCTTTAGATTTTTTTTATTAATTTGCAACCATGGTAATATTTATAATAAACATGAAAATCCCTGTTTTGACCTGAAAGATAAAGTGAAATATTTATAAATATTTTGTCTCTCTGTCACCCCAGGAAATTTCGTTTATGTCTTTCATTTTTTTACAAGTTCGATTTTTTTATTTATTTTACCTTTTACAGGTATAAGGGATTCATTTGCAATAGCGAGTTTTGCAATCTGTACAAATGTTTAAGAAAGTATTAAAGCACAAACAGAGAAGTACCTCCACCGGCCGAGAGGGGCAGTACCTAAAAAACGGAAGCAGATTTACCAACACAACAGTGGCCACTCGTCACACGATTTCAGTATTTGGAGAGGATATCCTATCTAGTCATTGACTACGATCTTTAAAGT